TTATACTGACTGTCACAATAATCACAAATATTACCTTTATCATGTTTCTCCTTGTCTTGTCTCAGTGCAGATATCATAATAGGATCATCAATAATAGTCTCCAAGAAAAGAGAAGCTTTCTCATCATTACTAAATGAATCATTCCTTATCTTCTGTAGAATAGGAAGGGACACTTCTTCCACTGACAGTATAAACTCTAACAATTGAAGTGACTCCAACATTGAGTAAACACAACTACTAGGAATGAGTCCCTCATCACCAGACACCAAGGATCTTCCTTTCCACCAAAATTCATTTCGCTTCTCGTATATCTCCAGCTGCTCTCCTTCACAGAATAAAATTTCATCACTCTCAGTTGCATGATAGTCATAACGAGCAATAAAAACAAATTCTGCTGTTGGTTTATTCACTATATACCAGTAATTCAATATATCAATCAGTTAATGATATAACAACACATACCACTTAATATATTTTTATATTTTTCATTTTCTTCTCTATTATTTAGTATATCTGCACTCGTTACTGATATCTGTTCTTGTAGTTCAGCTATTTCTCTCTTAGTATTTATTAATAATTCATTCAGATCCAGTAAACCTATCATAGTATAATTATAATACACTAACACATACATTATGATTCTGTACCAGTTTTATTTGTTAATAATAATTGTAATTTTTCTATTTCCATTCTCATTCCTCTTCTGATTCTGTATGATGCTATAAATAAATAAATAATTATTATCTGTACTATTGAAATAATAAAAATAACAATAATAATAACAATATTTCTAACCAGAACTAGTATTTTGTGGTAAAGACAGAAGCTTTTCAATTTTCTTTACTCTCATTTCTACATTATTTCAATTATAATTAATAAAGTTTTATTATTCTTACTTGTTAGTGTTTCTTCTAATTGTTTGTTTGTTTTTATTTCTTTTATTAATTGTTTATTGATTATTGTCACACTTGTATCAGTTGATAGTATATCTGAAATATAATAATTATTCATCAATTAATAATACTGGTCAACAACCATTACATTAATGTATTATTATACCTTGATTAATTACTGATTGAGGTGTTGCTCCTTCTGTTTCTTTCTCCTCCAGTCTTGCTACTCTATCTTCCTATTAAGTTAGTTTAATAAAATAATCAAACACAAATTATTATACCTTTGTATCATGAGGTTGTTCCTTTATCTCCTCTACCTCCTCTTCCAGTGCTTCCTGTATTTCCTTTATAATACAGTATATAATGATAATTACTGACAGTATATGTATAGGTTATACACCGAGGTAGAGGTTTTTATGGTATTTATTAACCGAGCAACGCAGTCGCGAGGTTAATAAATACCATAGAAACCGATACCGAGGTGTATAACCAACTTCTACCATGACACTTGAAAAACAACTACCAGCTGCTGATAATAAGACCACAGTTGACATACATACAACATATCTAACAGGCTAGGCAGTAAAGAATCAACCAAACTTGACAAATGGACTAATAAGAGCATAAGCGTAGAGCACCAAACTGCCAATCAATTAATTATTTAACGAGATAGGTTTATATTTTTACGAGCTAGGTTAATATGAAAAATAATTGACCTCCAATACTGCAATCTGATTGGTCAATCGCAAGGTGGCATGGTAGAAATACACATACTTGTATCCTTTGTTTTTTCCATATTGTGCAGTATCCAACAGTAAGCTTCATTAGACCATTCTTTATTAATAATTCAAGATTCTCACTCAATTTTATAATGAGAGCTCCAGTGAGAGAGTGAGGGAAGGAGCAAGTGACAATGATGGAGTTTCCTTTCTTGATGTATTTTATTTTTGCCAGTTTACCAGATGTTTTGGAAACAATTTTTTTAATATTCTGTAGCATGTGCTCATCTGGTTCCCAGTCAAAGACATATGTAACTGTTTCACATTGAAGAGAAGGACTACCTCCTAATGCTTCAAACTTTTCATTTAAGCAAAGACTAATCTTTACTGTGCGACAAAACTCTTTTAATATGCTGTTGTATTTTTTGATGTATTTTTCAGCTTTTTTGATTTTGAATTCTTCTACTAATGATTGAAGCAGCCTGATGTTAATTAATGAACACTCTTTCTCTACTACTCGTAATAATTCAGTGATATTGGAACACAAAGACAACTTTGGTTCAAGACTGCTCTTATAGCAACGCAAGAATTCCTTTACATCATCTAATGGTGGTGGCTTGTTCTTTATTATTTTATGAACATTGTACAACATTCGACCATAAGACGTTTGTATTGAAGTGAATTCATCACTCATACATTCAGGAATGGCTATCTCAACTATTAGAAATAAATTACAGTTTTAATATTAATATCATTATTACAATGTACCTACCAGTTGGTGCATTAGGTGGAGTAGGTGATGGTGTAGTTGTTCCAGTGCTTAATGTATCAGTGCTCATATCATCATTAGGAATAACAACTTTAATAAGCTTCTTATCATCATTGAAAGATTGGTCTATGAAACAAATAATGAATATCATTGCTTTAATGTAATAGGCTCACCATAGTCTCTTTGTATAACTGTTCCTAGTTCTACATTACCAGTGAACTTGCACACCACACTAGCAAATGTTTGTAGTAAACTATACTTGCTTTCAATAGCTACAATAATGGCAGCTAACAGGACTTCACGTTGATTAGGAACAGAGGGACTAGCTGAAGCTACACTAGCCAATACTTGTCCTGTTATGACACCCTCTCTTTGAAGCATAATAGCTACACTGACAGGATCAGAGAGAGACTGAGAGAGGACTGAATGATGAGTGTTGAATATATCAATAGCTTTAGCTTTACGTTCTATAGAATACACACACACACAGTCAATACTAATACAATCAGTGATATTAACTTACTCTCTTGATCTAACTTGTCAGCTGCAGCATTCTCATTCATAGATTTAAGAGCATCTGACAGTGAGTCAAAGGTAGCTCCTCCTTTACTGTCAACATTATCAGCTCTACGCAACCACTGGCAGAGACAATCAGCCAAACACTCGTATGTTGTGTCATTGTCTTTTTTAATGACGTCCAGTGAGTCCATGAGTAGTCCTAGTGTCAGTCCTAGTTCCTTCCATCTCCTCTGAGGGAAACCACATCTCTTCAACAGATTAAGCACATCAATAAGTTGCTCTAAACAATGATTATTATAGGTCTAGTATTTATAATGAATATTACCTACCAATAGTCAAAGGAGAAGAGAAGAGAGAAGGAGGAGAGGAATAGTTGCTGCTCTTAGTCGCCATT